GTTTAAATATCGAGTGTTTAGATATAAACGAGTAAACATAAGTTGAAAACTGTCGTGTTAAAAAGAGAGTGTATTAATGACAGAAAAACATCTAACATAACAAAAAAAATCAACATGAAAATGTACTATTTAAACACGTAAATAATCAATTTTGATCAATAACCCATAGATACGTTCAGATACGTCAACGTATCAGATACGGATACGATACGTCTTTAAATGTCCCACTTCTAATACTACTAATGGACCTCTTTGTCTTCCTTATAAGGTCTCTTTTGGCCCATTTATACCTCTCATTTCCTCAAAATTTATACTTTTTAGGCCAATAAATAAAAAATTTGGGGTAACTTTCACTCATTTATGATAGAAATTTTATAATAAATGATTAATTGAAGTATTCAAGCTGAATGAAATATCCGTATAAAAGTTTAATGTCTCCAAGGAGGTTTTAATAAGTCCTTACGTAAAACTTAAATTTACGCCGCGTTCCAGAGAGGAACATAAAAAGCTTCTCTTTTTGTGAATAATTTGTTGTTACTGCTTTAAAAATTATTTCATTTACTTAAAACTATATATTTATTATAGTATTTCTTAGGAAATATTTTCTAGTATAGCAGAATATAAGAAATAAGGAGAAAAAGCTCACCAAAACTCTAAGTATGGCTTGTTCTGTCAACTAATATTCATGGTAAACATGGTGAAGTCCTATTTCAAGGAAATTTTCTCATAAAATGTGTTTTGGAGACTCAATTCACTCAGAATATTTCATTATTTGTAATATTTCACTTAAATAGCAAGAAATTTTATCACATGAGAGTACTCACAAGGTCAAAGGTGCATGTACAGCTTCCCATATTTAGGTGTAATACCACCATTGATTTTCCCCTATTAGTCTTTGTTATATTTGCACTTTTATAAAAATTGTGCAGAATTTATCTTTGTTTCAAATAAAGAAATACTTGGCATAAGTAAAGTTTTATCCTGTCCAGTACTATAGACAAATTCTCACATAACATTTTATTGCATATAAGAAAATAACCATCACTGGAAGTTAACCAATCAAATTTTCCCCCTTTTTTAACCTGTGTACAAGCTTTAGTAACCATGCTACCTCAAGTTTCCAAAATATTCTATAGAAACCCCAAATAAAAAAATAATGGTGCTTTGAAATACCCAAAATATATGTTTATGACCCAGAAATTTTTATTCTGCAATGAAATGTAGGATCAATTACCTACAACTGTCAAATTCAAGGGAATATTTTTTTTCGACCTATTTTCGTATGCAACCGGATGTGACGTACTATGATTTGGTGGTATTACACCTGTACAAGTAGTGTTATACATCGGTACTCGTCCAACATTTTTTGTATCTTGTATAACATGTATAAGAATACAATAGTTTGTAGGATGGCCGATTGCCTTATAATTTTAGATATAACCATCCCTAGTGAGTTTTTATTCCTTGGCATTTGCTTCAGTTGATCAAAAATTAGCATTCTAACGTTCTACACATTTTATTAATTTATATATTTGCCTCAATATTTTAGCATATACCCCAAAATTAATCCAAAAATGCGGTTTTACTGTTCTAAACATTAAAACTGTCATTTATGTCAACACATAAATAAAGGTCAGAAGACATTGTTGTCAATTTATCAATGAACAGATCTCTGCAGTCTGCACTAACTTAACAATAAAACCGTTTTTAAGTTTTTTAGGATTTAAATAAGTTTTAGCGTGTGCCGATTTCTATCCTAGTTCTCGTTTCGTTTGTGGACATACACATGGATTTAGACGAGTTGCATTTGCAAACTACATCACGTATTGAAATGTTGACAACATGGACATCCATATCTCGAAAGCACTTCAAAAAAGCATGCACTTAACTTGTACTGCATTAAAGAATCATCTACAATATATCCTTAGCATTTCACTGATTGTTATTAATAGTTATTGCTAATAATATATAGTAATGTTACATATAACAAACAACATTTTCCAATAGACCAAAAAATTGAAAAAGTATATTTTAACAAAACGCATTTGACTAGCTGGTCGAACAACTGATGTTTTTAAACACTGCTGACTGCCATGGCGGTTGCCAAATAAACTGATCACCAGATGTAACAAAATTGATCTTTATTTATAACTTAATACCAAACAGAAAACAATAAACTAACGGAAAAGATGGTAAACCGTATACAATTTGAGGTTTTTATCCAACGCAATTATAGGTTTGAACGTTGTTTTCAATTTAGACTTGGTAATGTTATATTTATATAACGCATTTGGGTAATTTACGTTGAATAAAAACAGTTATGTTATCACAACTTTGGTGTGTAATATGAAGCAAATAACTATTCAGCATTTTTGTGTACGGAATATCTGTCTTTGTATAGACGATATATATCATTAAGAATGCGTTTAATGGGATTATCAAATTTAAAAAAAATAGCATAAAACCCTAGAGATTTTCCGAACTGATTTCATATTTTTATATTGACCAGTAACTAATCTAAAAGTAGACTTACCATCAAATGTTTAGTTTTCAATTTTCATGATGGACATACAATTAAAATAAAGTAGCCGAAGGTCATGCCAGTATCATTTTATCGTTCAATGACTCAACAAAATAAACATAATTTATTAAACAAAATGTATGTAAGTATACAGATTTTTTTAGATAAACATAAAATACACATTAAAGGAATATATTGGTTGAACGGCAATGGAACATGAAACATTTTGTTTTGTATGTAAGTGGTGTGTGTGTTAAGGATCGTATGAAAGGATTTTAAAAGACAGACTAGCTTAAATTGATACTTACCTGATATTTAATAATTTTCATGTTCCTTAAACAAATTGAATATTAATCCTTTTATGAATTTTAACATGATAGCTTTCTAATTTTATTTTGATGCGGAGGTTTATTCTTCCACTACTAATTTGTTGATTATATCTAATGTAAAAATGAACGACATGTGATTATTAAAAAAATACTTCATCAAAGACATATTATATATGAATAAAAGGAGATGTCGGATAAACCTTAATGAATGGTATTTAAATTACTAAACTGCACGAAACAAATTGAATACAAATAAAAACACATGTAAGGGCAATTATATAATTTTGTCTCTGAATCGCCCGAGTCTAACAAGATGAGAATGTATTTAACAGATACTATCACATATTGGAAATAAGAAGTGTATATGGAAAATCATATTCCTTGATTAAAAAAATAGGGATTGAGTTAATGAGCTATCGAAATATTCTAAATGACGTTACATATAACGGTTAAGATTCAAACAGCGAATTTTTTTTTTGAACTCAAAGCGTTTTTTACAGATTTAGTGAACTCTTTATAATAAACTTCAACTTTTATGTACATAGCTCATTACATTTCACTTTCTTCAAACAGGCCGTTAGACGAGGACCATAATTACAACACATTTTGATCATTTTTTCTGTGATAATCTACTTTTCTCTAGATTCAAGGTTCACATATGATTAAAAAAATTTGAAATAACCATAGAAACATAAATATCAAAACATGAAAACCTGTCAGATAGAAAGTCGGCTAGCTCCTCAGGCATAGAAATGGAAATAGCTTTAAAATGCTTATTTCAGCCATATATTGCTACAATTAGACATTTTTAAAGAATTGCAGTCATATAAAGATGGAAATCCTTTAATTGCATTAAGTTTGATAAGTTGATACCCTCAAATCATTCAGGGAAGTTGCCAAGGGACAGATTCGACGTTTACTGAATTCACCTCTTAGGCCTGAGAACACAGTTATTTCGTAGTGCATTTCTTTCAGACAAAAAACGCAAATAAAAACAACCGCACCTTCTGTTTCAAAAAGATTTTTACAGTGTAGTGTACTACTTTTGGGACAAATTATGTCAAAATTATAGAAAAGTATATCGGCTCTAACTCAAAGAATGGATCATTTTATGTTAAAGGGGTCTGTAATTCCGATTGAGAGCTTCAGACATACTAATTTTTGACCTCTTTAAATTGGACCAAATCACTATTTTGCCTAAAAATTCATGCTCCAAATTTGTTGTACATGTAATTTCATCCCCTTACTTACTATCCAAGGCATAAAATATCAAGAAATAAATTTGGAAGGTGTATGAAAAGAAATTGCAAGTTATACACTGTTCACACTAAGGACTCTATTCGTAGACAACGAAAATCAAAGGACGATAACTGTGTCCCGTACTAGTAAGCGTTTTTAAAGCTTAAGATGTATCAAACTAGGGGGAGCTATTCAATCAGACGGGTTTAAAAGTACAGACTAAACCATGGAAAACTAATGCATTGTATTTTGGAAGGCATCCCTATATAAAATGTGAGATTATTACAATCGAACATCATTATTTTAAGGTAAACCTGAGGAAGTATGACGTACTATTTCCAAGATAGCACAAAGAGCCAGATTGAGTTAGTGGAAAGGCAACATTCAATTGACAGTCTAATCAAAGAGAAGATTCACCAGATTGGATCGGATGTATATTGCTTTATTTTCTAGTAACAAAATAAACTTAATTTTTGTGATATTTTTATTCAATTCAACTTACAGAGCATCAAAGTATACTATGATTTCATATTTACATAAGATTATTTAATCATAAAGCGTAACATTATAATAGGTTGATATTAACTTCTTCTATATGTGTAAATAAATAAGTTGAGGGGGCATTCGGAAAACACACACACATATAAATCAATTAGTATATACATATTTCGAACAAATCATCATAAACTCTTAATTCAAGAATTTTATTGGAACTTTAGGTGACGAAAAGTAATCGACATATTAATGCAGTGTTATTTTTTTTAAAGCATTAAAAACAAAATTTGGACCAATTACAAGAGATTAATAGTATAGTTCTTACACACAAGTGAAAGTATTGAAAGCATTAATTTCTTTTACAATCACAAATTAAAGATTTATGATTGAAATTTTACGATAAATGAGCTTTTAAGAAGAAGAGGTATTAAAAATTTAATTTTAAAATCACTTTTAAAATAAAAAAAAAACATGTCGACTCAGAAAAGAATAGTAAACAAGTGACACTTATGTCTGCGTTAAGTGACACATCGACAACAATTATAATATACACATAAAACAGTGCATTCAAAAACAAGAAAAGCTGTTATACTCAATCATTGAAGTGGTTGTTCACAAACATGATATTTCAAACACTAGTTACGAAATTATAGATCAATCTATATATTTCATAGGAGAATCCCTTCTTTATTGGCGATCTTGGAGAAAATGAAATTCCTTTTGAAATGAACACCGGGTGATAACTTAGTCAATTATAATGCACAATTTGGGGGATGGGTATTTTGTGGTTTTGGCTTAGCAGTTTTTTTTATATATCATTTGGTTTAAATCAGATGCAGATCCTGGATGTTGAAAAAGGGTGACCCAAAGTAGTAAAGTAGTCAACATATTATAAGTGAAAAGTGTATGTATTAACCATATATGTAGCCTCAGTCCCCTCAATCGAATACGCCTATGTTTTTTAATATGGAAAACGTGTTTTCTGTCACAATATTCGAAGATCATTGGAAGTAATTTGTATTTAAGTGTAGGTGTATATGCATATATAGTCTGATTAGCACTCATAAACTTGTTCATCTTTGTCCCTTCTCTTATCTTTCAATATGAATTCACACGACATTCGAATATAGCAAGGTAAACCAGTAAAGGCAGCTTTGTCCATTGATCGGGCACCAGATTGGATCTTCAATACCAATATAAAAATTTTATCTATTTTAAATATCTTCTCCTATCCGGGACATGTTTTCAATTGTACGAGCAATAATATACAGTAAATGATATATAACAAGAGTAATAAATGTTACAGTACGTCATATACGAAGTCATTTTATATTCATTTTGTGCTATGCTATATCAAGACGGCAGCTAAAATTGATCATGTTGATATACTTGTTCCCTGAAAAATAATAAAAAAATGAATTCATATGTTATTGGAAATTTTGTAGTAGGTTTTTCATTTCTGTTATTGCATAATAGTTTGTTTGGAAATCTTCAAATAATAACATTGGCATACAATGTGTTGACTATACAAACGTTCCGCAAGGGTGGGGGAGGATGTTCAACAAATTAAATTCCCATATTAATTTTAGAAAAGGACAAATTTTATGGTGTGTCCCTTCTCAAATTCTCCTAAATCAAATCAATCATATTTTTATTTTTGTTTTGAAAAAACGAGCACCCTTTGTAATTTTTTTATGATAAATGATGTAAAAATCGCATATAAAAATTAGGGAAGAAAACTAGCGGAAAAGCAATTAAAAATAGCACTATAAAAATTGCTGGTAAAATACAAAATTTAATTAAAAAATAGTACATGGAAAACAAGAAATGAATTTATAACATTTTTTATTCAATCAATTTATCTTTATAGATCTAATTATTACAATTATTCACTGTGGATATATTTTAGTGGATTGAGGAAAAATATATTTTCGTGAATATTTAATTTCGTGGTTTGCCAAAGTTTTTATACAAACCTATAGAAAATATGCACTCAGTTGTACATTTAAAAACCTATACCCAAGAAATCCACGAAAAATTGGTATACCACGAATAATAATGAATCCACAATAATAAAAAATATATCTCCATTTATTATTTCAATGCAATTGTTTAATTTACTAATTATTTGTATTTTTGTAGATCAATCCACATTATACTATATATATCTGTAAACATGGTAAACGTAAAAAAAATCGACCTTATAGTACATCAACAACAGCTTAATTATGGCAAGCTTTCTCTCCATGCAGCATCAAAGAAACATGGTGTACCGTTCCAGACTCTTAGTGATAGGGTGGCTGGAGACATAGATCCTGAGTGTACAACTATGGGCAATGCACCTTTATTAACCTTAGATGAAGAAAGCAAGTTGGTGACTCACCTGATGGAAATGGTTGAACTTGGATATGAATATTATCTTCAGAGAGTTTTGGGCATAGCAAATGACTATGCAATTACGATTTATAAGAAAACCAAAGATGATAATCCCTTGAGTCTGGCCTGGTTCTATGGGATGCTTGGACGATGGCCAGATCTCAAAATTGTAAAACAAAGGGCATTGGAAGTTGTTAATTCGAATACTGCCAACAAGGAAACATTTCAGAGCACTTTAATGAACTTGAAAGAGCTTTACTCAAAAACAATCTCATAGATAGACCTCATTTAATTTACAATGTTGACACATGGTTGATGAGAAAAGTGTTGCCATTTCAGGAAAATGCAAGAGTGTCACTATTTTTGGGTGTGGAAACGCAATTGGCAAGGCATTGCCTCCTTTCCTTATCTTCCCTGGGCAGAATATAAATGACAAGCTGTTAGAGGGGTCTTCAACAGGAACTGTTGGCACAGTCTCTAAGACAGGAGAGTCTAATTCAGACATTTTTATGGATTTTCTCCACAATCATTTCTTGAAGTTAGTCCCAGATAATGGACATGTGATGTCATTGTTAGATGGACATAAATCTCATATCCCTGTTGGCACATTTAAATGGACAAGGCATCATAATGTTGTACTACAGTTATTTCCACCACACACCAGCCATTCTTTGCAACCACTGGATGTTGGTTGCTATGGCCTTCTCTAAGATATCTACAACAGTCTGTGTCTTAAAACTATCTGAACAAAAAACTGATCGCAATGATGTTTGTGCCATGGTATGCAAAGCGTACAAAAATGCATTATCAAGTAATAATTTGCAATCAGCTTTTAAAAAAACAGGAATATATCCATTCACCAAAGATGTCATGGACTTACCACTGAAACTATCTGAAGCATTATGCACCATTGACACGGTGAACATTGAAGAAAGCCAGGTTGAGAACATGATTGACTTACATTTAGTAAATGAAGACAAAAGTTCATAAGTAGCAGAAATTGTAAATGAGAGAAAACATGTCACTGATATCTATGAATGTTTAGAGATACGATAAAGGTTTTGTCACAATTGATCTGATTTATTGGATGACTGGTCAAGGTTAAGGTTTCATGATTTTGTCTGTTTTGCATGTGCTATAATTAAATGGGCACTTATATTTGGTGTATACAATGATAATTAGGTGTACATATCTATTTTGCAGTTTTTTAACTGACCTTGGCAATGGTTACCAAAATAAAATTCTTTCATTAGGTCCGTTTCACAGATACTATTAGCAATGGGTCACCTGTATTTGATATAGAATGATTATTTGATCAAGGTGTATATTTATTTTTCCTGGATTTATCTGATCTAGACCTCATTTCTTTGTAAAGTGTTAATAATAAAGTTTTCTTGATTAGGTCTGTTTCTGAAAAATAGTCCAGCTATATTGGGTATATAAAATTACTAAAGGGTGAATATGTTTGTCTCACACCTGGGGTTTTTTTTTTAACGTGACCCCATTTTGGTGATTGTTAGTCAAGTTAAATTTTTGTGATTAGGTCCATTTTCTTCAGATGCTATAGCAATAGGTTACGTAAGTAAATTTGGTATACTCAATGATGTATATATACATGTCTGACCTTGACCTCATTTTCATACCTTATAGATGTATACATGTTTGTCTGACCTTGACCTCATTTTCATAGTTTATTTGTCCATATAAATTTTTGGTGATGAAGACTGATTCCAAGGGAATTTCATGATATGTGTTCTACATGTTATATATATGGTGTATAGAATGTTCCATTGATAATATTAAGTTTTTGTTATACCTGTATTATTGTTATGCAAAAGGGAGGCATTTTAATGTATGCACTCTTGTTCCATGCGAATACTAGTAGTTGAAATGAGAATGAATGAAAATGACTTTGAATTGACTTTTAGACTGGTGTACCTAGAAATAAAGTTTGATTCAGATCAGTATTTTTAATTACTCATGGGAATAGAAAAAGAAAACATTATCGAAATTTGGTGCATAAGAATAGATTTTCTAGATTTACCTTCATCAGGAAGCCTGAAGACCTTTGATTCAAAAGTTAAGAATATATTAATACTTCAGGAGTTATATTAGCAATAGGCTCAAGCATAAAAAAAAACATAACCATCTAAGGTCACATTAGTCAGGGAGGTGGACTAAACTTTCTTAATACTCTTAGCATATTGGAAAATGTATGTTATAAAAAATGAAAACAGCACGTTATAAATTTCATGCGTCCGAAGCGCTCAAAGCCTGATATTGAAAGCCAAGGATGTGTAAGGACCGAAAACGTTGATGAGCTATAAACCGAAAATGACCTAAAAAAATAAATAATGTCAGTGGCATAGCACTGACTACTAAGCTGCTGATACCTTTTTGGACTAACTGTCTCGGAGTAGTAGTATTGATCCAGTGCAAGAATATAGATTTGGTGCAAAGGTAGCACTTTTCAGGAAATATCTTCATCAGGAACGATCAAAACCAACCAAGGATTTTTATTATAGGAAGGATTAAGGGGCATTGCGTGTTTTTTTAATGTAATTTGGCTCCTCCCATTTGACAGTTCTTTTTTTGCGACTAATCTATATTATGTCATATTAAGAAATGACGAAATGTTATTTTTTATTAAGTTTGTCACTAAATATTGTTAAGAAAATATTTTTTCTTTGTTGAAATTGACAAAATGTTATACTTATTGAGGAGTTATCAGCCCTTAATATGCCTACTTTTACAGTGACACGTTACAATATCTGAAACAACCTTTAAATTAACAACAACGTAAGCAATTTTTATGAAATAATTTCTTACATTATAATAATTAAACATAAAATTTTGTTTATGAATTATAAGTTTCATAATTAAAATATTTGTTTTGAAGGAAGATATTCCATTAAAGTTGTGTTGTAGACTGATAATGATGAAGATGTATATTTGTATCGAGAAAATGCAGTCATTTAATGTGTAGATAACGTGTATTATTACAATGAGATCTTCTATTTTGAATTAGAACTATCTGAATCACGTCATGTCATCATGTTGAAATGCTGACTTAGATTAAAAAGTGAGAAATATTTGCTATTAAACAGGCAAGCCAAACGACGAATGAGATGCGCGATAGGGAATCTGGCAAGAACTCGCCACACAACATATTTCAATTCACTGTTTGCGAGATCCTAATCCTCTTTGTTATTAAAGTCCTTTAACCAGTGATGTATAAATACTTTAGACGCTTTATGACCAAAAGAGATCTGCAAACGAAATACAAAACCATCGGATATTAATTTTGACTGAGAGAATTGAAATACACATTGTTCTCTGCATGAAATGTCATTTGCTCTGCTTTTATAAAATCAAGTTATACGTGCAAATTGTCGTAAACAGATTTACCTGTAATCGTTTTCTTCCCTCTTGATTTACTTTCCATCATATTTTGAATAAAAAAGAGGCGGGAGATACTAAAGAGACTTTGAAGACTAATCTGTGGATGGGAAAATGACAACACCTTGGCAACAAATGAGACAAAAAAAAGAAAAGAACAGAGAAAAAGTCCACAAAACACTACATAGAAAACTAAGGACTCTACAAAAAAGTGGGGGTGATCTCTTGTTCTCAAAAAGGTTAAGCGGAAAACAACAATATAAAATATAAATTATAAAGTATCTTAAGGATATCTATCTGTCATAGTATAATACCATTGTGACTTTTCAGATTACTTCATATTTTAATTGACAATACACAAGATACATCATTGTGTATCAGATTTTTTATATATGCTTCCATTTACAAGATATATTGATTTAACTGCTTAGTGCCATACCTGATGTCACCTTTCATCTTTGGAGACCTATACAATCATTCAAAAACAAATTTTCCAAAACTGGGACATGATTTTGTAGAAAATTCTCCCTTTAATCACATATATCAAAGCCAAACCAAAGAGAGTACCCATAAAGTTTTTTACTACCATTTTTGATAATGATTCTCATGAAAAAATGTTATAAAAATCACTTTAAAACTGAATACTACCCGTTGAACCCATATAAATGCAACAAACATATAAAAATTCTACTGGGAACACCAAAAAAGTGATCCGATACCATCATTTTATCAATAGTACCACACAGTTTGACGTGTCTTATATACACCTACACTGTAAACTTTGCATTATTTGTACACTGTCCATCCCTTAACAACACTAATTTGGCATTTGGTGGGGGTTTGAGGTCACAAATTTGACCCATTGCTGTGATGTTGTAGTAATTAGATATGGTCAGAGCTCCTCCCCTGTACAGACAGTCTAAGATAAGAAAATATTGTGGGTGACCAGCTGTATACAAGCAATATTCAACATTATTTTCACTATGAAATAATAATAATCATTCATATTTAATAAGTAGTATATGGTACTTTGAAAATAACTAGAACACAGAAGCTTAAAACTGAGCAATAAAAGATATTTTCATACAAAGACATTATTAAGACCATCCCTTTCTGAAAATAGACTGGTCCGCATGATGTTTGAGGTATAGGAAATTAAAAAATAACACACAAACACAAAACAATGTTTAAATGTTTAAATTTCCTACAGAATGCATGCATGCCTAGAATAAAGATTGTTTTCACTGCTGCTGGTGTCAGATTCAGATACAGATTGATCTTGCCGAAGTACGAACATTTGTCAGGGGGTTTCAAGGCTACTCTTACAAATTTACCCATATATTTCTTCACTTTAGTTTTTTCCACTCTATATTTTTTCACTTTTAGATTTTCTTTGTTTACCGCCCTAGTTATATAAAATACTTTTGATAGCAGCATAATAAGATAAGAGCACATTATTTATTTTGTGGTCAAAGATTAACAGCTTGACGATTGGAATCAAAAGGTAATTAAAAGATTAGCTCCTCCCATAAGCACTCATATACTAGGTAAAGAGTATAGTCGAAAAATTAGCTCCTTCCATAAGCCTCATATACTAAGTATAGTGTATAATTGAAAGAATAGCTCCTCCCATAAACAGTCATATACCAATATCCGTTTCACAGATGATAGCGGACATGTTCCTAGTGTCGTAACTACAACCCCGTCCCCCTTTTCCGAATGTGACCTACCGAATTAGACTTATTAACGGGTTTGTACTAACATGAGCAACACGACGGGTACCACATGTGGAGCAGGATTTACTCACCCTTCCGGAGCACATGAGATCACCCACAGTTTTTGGGTGGGTTCGTGTTGCTCAGTCTTTAGTTTTCTATGTTGCGTATTGTGTACTATTGTTTGTCTGTTGGTCTTGTTCATTTTTTAGCCATGGCGTTGTCAGTTTATTGTCGACTTATGAGTATGTATGTTCCTCTGGTATCTTTCGCCTATCTAAGTATACAGTATGTATCATGTACTTATATTTACATAATTTAGTTATTCATTTACTCCCTGTTGTGACATGATAATAACTGGGATTTTTAAAAATGTTCAGATTGATAAATACTTAAAAATAATGTGATGAAAAGAAACTTTCACTAAAAAATTATTTTATGACTGTAGTGCCACTTTTATTCCCCACTTAATTACCATAATAATATCTTGAATTAAGTTTTGTTCGCTGTTGTTAATTCTGTTTTTCTTTTGTAAAAAATATGTTTCCCCTTTACACCGATCAAGAACTATGTTTTTTATAGTGAATGTTACCCTCTAAATATACATTTTCTTTAAGGAATGACTGTAATGTGTTTTTCTGTCTGTGAAGAAATAACATTAAACATGTGGTTCAGAGCGGGTTATTTAAAAGTGTGCACCACATTTTTTTAGGTTTTTTCGAATAGACAGAAAAAATATTACAGTCATTCCTTATAATTTAGTTCTAAAAAGGAGTAAATCATGATAAAAACGTTGATGACGTCACGGTCACATGACAAAATTATGAAAAAGACTATGAGCCGATAGACAAAACACTTTCAGCCAATCAGAAGACATGTTACAACCAAAATTTAAATTATTCTAAAATAAAAACAAAGATAATTGAAAAGCAAGACAGTATACCATAATTTCTTTTCACATGTGAAGTACTCCTCGACTCTTGGCATACTGTTAAAATTGGTTGCTGTAGTATAGGAGTATGCTCCCACATCTTTGAAGTATATCCAATCTCCAGTAGATAGGTCGGGTAGTTTGATTTTGTCTATAACTAAATCCACTGCAGCGGAAGTTGGTCCCCAAATAGTACTGTTATACAATACCTCTTCATGATTGCCCTTGAATGAGATACATTTAAAATTGACATGTGTGTAAAACAATAGATTGCTAATGTTTAAACACATTTGTAAATCCGAACTTATCGAATATGACTATTTCACAACATTGTCCAAACATAAAAAAAAGGTTGATATCTAATTTTATGGGAACCGGATATTGCCAAAATCAACCCTCTGGATCGTGTTAATTGAATTTTGTAGATCTTAATGATAATCAACTAACGACTGTACAGATAGATGATAGCAAGAAATTCGCTGCCTCCTTAAACTATTGGATGTTTCCTTGTGGCATTTTTGTGTCACAAGACTTTTCTCATGTTCATCAACACCACGGACCACTTTTAAAAAAAAGTAGAGTAAGTCTTTAATTTATTTTTGTCGGATAAACTGATAGACATGTCTCTGAATTCCAGTAATTATTATATTCGTCAGTATTTTATCAAACTTGTATGTCATAAACTAATTCTGAATAATTTAGTTTTTGGGAAATAGATAAATTGTGTGTTACAGCAGCTTTACAATAATGGAAATTACACTGGTTAGAACATTCATATGACTCAGTGACAACGAATCACAAAATGAAAGATTTTAACAGTTTTTGATTTGTGTATCATGTTTTCAGATAAGTTTTATCAAAGAAGACATAAAAACATATTTGAACGATTAATCGTTAGTGTATTATATAAGTATGGCCTTCTTAGTAGATGAACCTATTCGGGATGACATCCAGAGGGTTTTAGCCCATGGAAAAAATAAATCTCAAAAGTTGGCGATTCAGGATGCCCGAAATCGTTTCAACTAACCGAACAAACCAGGCCTAGAAATAAAAAAGAAAACAGTGATGTGACAACTATCAAACATCTTCAATATGATAAATCATACCATAACTCTTGGAGGGGACTAAATTATGTTCACCGTGACCGTCCGTTCTAAAGTCTGTTCGTCTAGCAAATATTTCCGTCATGTATCTCATCTACTAATGAACAGAATGGCTTTATATTTGGTCAGTAGGTTAACCGTGGTGATCTGTAATGTGTGAGTGCTTTTCTCCGAGTGGGGATATGCTAAGCACGACAACACGTGCAGTTGTTGTTTTATTAATATAAGGCGACAACAAATCTAGTGACAATGAATACTCAACCAAATTATGGGCCACTTCTGGTAATCGTCTGATGTTGTCATTAGGATTATGAAAATATTGCAACCCTCGACAGGGAACTGATTAGAAAATCAAAGGAAACCCTACAGTTGACAAGGTCATGTGATCAAAATTCATAACAATGAGAAACATTTTTGATACATCTTTTGCTTTCCAATGTTTTGGTTTGAGCGTTTTTGATGATGACGGTAAATCCAGAAATTCACTTTGGACGCACATTATTTGTAAAGTGTTTTATTTATCTGATATTAATTATAATTGGTAATCATTTAAATTATTTTTATTATTTGAATCTGTTTTTTTTATACTTAATAATGTGAAATAAAACATGTATATTTTGGCCAGGTATTGGAATTTGTAATGCGATATGCTTGCAAAAAAATTCAATATATTTCACTAAAATAGATATTAGAAAGAACACTCACTTTAAAGTGTGAAGATACATAACACCCCGGATCAATCAAACATGTCAGAAAACTTCCGAATATACCCTCATTTACATAGTACATTCTGAGGTGTTCATTCGGTACTGTTGGATGGTCATGTAAATTTCCTTCTGAAAGCAAAAGTTACTGTACTGTATCGAAACCTTAATTTATAACTGTATATCAATTTTTTAAAGTGAGAAATCCCCTAGCCCAATGTGATAAGGGTGCAATCACAGCTTGTTTGATCTGTGTAGCATATTTTTTCTTGTAACGCATGTTACTGGATTTATACTTGTCATATGAAACGCGACAATGCTATGGAAGAACCTAAGAAACTAGGGTGTGTTGTTTCCGGCGGAGGCGTTGGCAGCGTCAATGCAACTTTTTGTTTGCGCTTTTGTCAGATTAAAAGGAACAATTAAAGTAAGTAGATATTTAATGTGTTGTTGTATGAATATTGCAATATCTCATACCCATGGAGATTGTCTGGTCCTGCCCCTTTAGTCATGGTCTTTTGACTGAAACATTTTCTTAATTTTCTTTAACGATGTAAAATTTTGTGATTTCTGTAAGGGAAACCTCTTGTATTAAGTCCATGTATTAGATATGCAGTTGTATTGATATAGGTATATCTCAACTCAACGGAAAATATTTAGCCCTATGCGTTTATTCAATGCTCGTTGACTTTGAATGTTCCGCATAGTTGACATGTAATAGTATAGCCATTGTTATTTTAACATATGCAATTCGCTTTTTGATCGTCGTTTTCCGTTATGTCGCCCGTTCACAGTTCGCTAATTTTCTATTAATTATTTTTGAATCTTCTCGGCTATTTTTAACCGAACAATGTTTTAAATTTAAGTCGAAAATATCGCCGATTTTGCTATCCAGTGGCTCATTTTTTCGTAAAATCATACGACAAAATTGATTATAAGTTAACTACAGTATTCATGACTGACGAAGAATTTTGTGAAATTAGTCGCAGACTATTTAGAGCCTATATTTTTTTTTTCATATTATCATCGGCTCTTTTTTGACACATGCTTAACTGAGTAATAAGCAACATAATTATTAATGTGGGTGACAAGTCAGAAATTTCGATGCATTGTGGCTAATTTTACTTTGGCAACATTCTTTGATACTTAACTCGATTTGAGTTTTTCTTGTGTAAACAATAATAAAAATAAAACAAACTTGGTAACACATTTTCTTCATCCGTAACGATTTTCTTTGTTATGATATTGGTGGCAATTGTGAACGCTGAAGTAACATAGTACCGTCCGGGCTCAGCTATAATCCGAACGTCATTAACAGGGAAATATTTATCCAAGGAGAGGTTCACAGCTTCAGCTATCTGTAAAATGGTTCAATGTTAATTATAACTTATTACTGTGTACTTGTTAATTCATGTAAAACACAAATATATGCTACTTTTCTTTATATGATACTCACATATGTTCTTTCATTGATTATATTTTAACAAGAACATTATGGCGTTTATGACTGTATATACATATGATTTGAAGAAAATATAAACAATTGTGAAAATACACATTCATGTTTTGTCAGAATAGGGACGTTTATTCACTTGCCTAATGTATTGTGAGGGCCACACACTCTACACGTTAATGAAAACATGTTAAAGCCATGGGTGTTTTAATATCTTAAGACTGTTCGCTACTCTTGTTTTTTTTTACTTTTAGTCAGAAATTCCGAATCCTTTAACTTTATCCATGTAGTGCAAATTAAAATTTTGCCCGCTTACCTACTTTTCTTTTCATAATTTTATTACATATTGTTTAATAGTTCATTATCAAAAAGAGAAAGGATGCCAATGTTAAATGAATGAAAAATCTTTAGAGAATCATTTCCCGCCAAATTTTCTATTGATTATATATATCAAAAACAAGTACATGGACCTATCATTTGTTTTTTTTTTTTAATTTCCCTTATCTATATATTATCAATTTATAACAGACTTTTAAAACACTTATTATTTTTAAACAGAGGAGCCAACATCCTTAATACGTGAGAAGCTGTATAAACAAAAAGGCATAACCAAAGTATAGCCAATTGTTTCTAAATAATTTCGTTATTTATAAACAAAGAATTTTAGAAAAGTATGTTATTAATCATGTCAGTACCAAAGAACGGACTACCAAGCTGCTGATACCCTCCAGGACTAACAGTCAACTAGCAGTGGAATCCAACCAATGCCAGTAAAGAATCCCTTGCAATAACTTCTTGAGGGATCCGTAACGCCAGTTGAAAGGTCAAATTTCTGTCACTATTCGATATAGTCTACACTCTTTCACATTACCCCGACCGATATCAACAAACTGTACAGATCTCACAGAAATTAATTCGTTATATTCCTAAGTACACATGATCTATTTGTAAATTAGGTTTTGTAGACAACAATTAATAAAGTCAATAACAACATTACTAGGCGTCCGTCATCCGTCGTCGTCCGTTAACGTGTACAGTCATCATCTCCCCTGAAACTACTGGACCAAATTTGACCAGTCTTGGCAACAATCATTAATGGGGTAACTAGTTTTAAAAATGTGTCCGTTGAACCCCGCTTGCCAATCAACATGGCCGACATGGTTTAAAATAGAACATAGGGATAAAATGAAGTTTTGTCTATTATCTTGAAATCCCGATAGATAAAGAAAATCTGACAAGGGAAAATGTTCAAAAGGAGATCTGCCTTTGGTTTTACATCAAATCAGTTAGACGACTTCTGAAGGAGACCAATAGCCTATTCAATCAATGGACCTTGTTGTCATTCGTAAATTCATGCAAATGTAAATTAATGGACTGAGTCCACAATAAAGATATTGACGCTCTTGACATTTGAATACTTAAATATATACAGCTGCTGTATAAAGAAAACTTCAAACAAGACTATGTTGAAGGTCATACGGTGACATAGAGTTGTTTATTTCTGTGTCATTTGGTCTCTTGTGGATATTTGTCTCATTGACCACATCTTTTTATTTTTATATATAGAAATTTGAGACATTAATTGTCAAATGCGCATTTTGTGCAGTACAATTTCTACCTTTTATGTATTACTACAACTTGGTCGATACCAATATTTGGTGACTGTTTGTCCCCGCTAATATCACTAGCCCAGTAGAGGCATAGATTGTCGATATGCGCATGGTGGATTACTAACACTGGCATTGGCTACTGGAAGATTCTCAAACTTCGAAACAGTGGTAACGTCTTTCTTGCTACACTACGTTGATAGTTTAGCGAAGCAACGTCACCACTGTTTCGGAGTTTGGAAGATTCTTCGAGACAGATTGTATCACCACAAAAGTAGCCAGTACTTTGCTACTAACATTAAAATATGGATATCGTTTAATTGAAATTTGCTGTTATATTTTCAGCCTGAAACGGTACCTATAATTCGGAAAAAAAACGCATTCCAAGACTTCGATTAATCATTCATTTGAGTGCATTAATTTATGTCGAATTCTATACACACAGACTATAAGTCTGTATTGATCGAGGCTTACCTCTTCAAAAGTAATATTTATCTCATCATTTGTCTGGCCAGGAAATCCGCCACCGATGTCAAGGATGTGCATGTTAAATCCAACAGAGAGTCCTAAATCAAATACATGTCTTGACTGCTCTAGCGCGGCTTCAAAAGCACCGGCTTCTAAACAGCCACTCCCAATATGAAAGCTAGTTTTAAAAAAATCAGACTTTATAAATCTACCAAAAACCATTGTTTGTCTATAACGCCACATACGATTCTTTCTTAAATTTTATATTTATATATTGATATCTTAATAAGCATTATATTTTCGTTTAACAGTGGCAGAATATTTTTTTCAACAAGTAAATTGCATAAGGCGACTGTCATTAAGATATATGATATATACTGTCTTCTACGAAATTTTTATATTACAATGTAGGTGGTGGCAAACCGATACAGCTAAAAATCGAAATTGAAGAGAATATACTCAAATATTTTTATTGATATATATATATGTAGACTGTATTTTTAAACATTTAAAGAAAAGCAAACCAAAACTATTGAAAACTAGTGACATTCATCTTATTGCTGAAAATGAAAAAGACGAATTTTAAATATTAAAAGTTAAGATACTGATTCTTTTTTAATAGTATGTGAACAAAGAACGAGACTGCAACCCTTTGGCGCAAACAACCAAAAGACATTTATAAATCAAGCTAATTTCCATTTCAGTCCTGAGTTTAAAAAAAGGTGTGAATAAATAAAACATACACTATCGCAGATCTGCCTTCAACAATATTCTTCAAACAACATTAAGATATACCATTCTTACCTTATACCGATGACATTTAATTCCAAATTCTTAGCAAATTGTAGCAGTTTTAAAGCTGTCGACGGGTGACATCCGAACTTTCTCCCCAGATGATAAATGATCTTGTTGTTTGATTATGGACTTATTCTCAACACTAAGCTTTAATTCGAATAGAATTGTTTCATGGTAAGGACTCAGGCAGTTTTGAGTTTTTTAGTCCAATATATTAGTTATGACGAAAACATCTTAATATATGTAATTTCCATGCGTATATATGTATGATACAAGATGGTCAATATATAATTATTAAGGATATTATATTTGTAGATAAAATAACTTGGTATTCATTTTTTGAATTTCTAATGAAAATTGAAAGAGATTGATGAAATACACTTCAATACTTCGCAAAATATCAACTATGAGTCTTTTTGAATTTGTTGAATTAAGGTACGATCAGAACAATGGAACAAAATGATATTTGTGTTTACGATGATGCCTCTCTGAGCGGATGTTGTGGTCATCTTGAATATTATGCGGAACTACCTTACTTCTCCCCTTTGGAATATCTTTTGTTTTTAAACCAACCGAAACATATGTTTTATACCGTTTTGCTGTTTAAAATTGAACCTTTGTAACACATCTATCTAATTTTATTTCAGTGGAGTATTTACTCCAAATAACAACGAACAGTCCAAAGTTTGTGCTTCTAATCAGAATTATCTACAAAATGGTTGAAGCATCAAAAGAAGACACCACACCGTGGAATTGTAATGGTAAATATTTAAGGTGCTTGTTGTCAACCTTTTTATATGTGAAGAGTA